AACAGAATCACACCAGCAACTCTGTCATGCCTGTTGTACACTGGGCTTTGAGCCACCCAAACCCAGAGGCATCTGCCAAAGGTCTCAGACAGCTGTGCAAGCACTCTCAGTACTCTGTGCCATTTGTTCAGCTGTTTTGTAGTGAGAGAGGCACATATTCCCAGAGTTCCCACCAAAGAGACTTCTTTCTCAATTTGGAAAAATATGACTGGAATACAAATTTTTTCATTGGTTGTGATTTTGTCACTCTGAATATATATTTAACTGGATGAATGCCTTTGCTCCTTATTTTTGCAACTAATGAAGGTGAAGAGAATATATCATGCCACATTAAAAAGCGGGAAATGCTAAAGAAATAGAAATAAATCACTTTCCACCTGAGAGTACAGCTGCTGCTTACAGAAACAGGTGCCTATTCACCTGGAAATTCAAAATACCTTGAATATAACTTGTCAAAATTCTATCCTTTCCTTCCTATCTTGCATATAAGCATCACAACTCTAATGAGAATGATTTAATGGTGAAATCTTAGATTGCAGCATAGTTAGCTCATTTTATGTATATGAACAGAGATTTTATGTTCCAGAAATACATTCACTGGATGTGTTAAAAATGGGAACTGCTCCCTTCCACCACAGGAGGGAAAAAGGGAAGAAAGGGGGGGGGGGAGCTTAGAAAGAAAAATATGAAGGCTTTTATCATCTAATCTTTGTTGCCTTTTGCATTTTTTATAAAGACTCAGTGTGGGGGAGCTAATTATATTAGCTATCTTGGGTAACAAACTATTAATTTGTGCTTCAGAATTATTAAACACCTTTCTACATACAGTTCAAAGGCAAATGAATGGACTTAATCCTTATATTAAAACACACAACAATCCAAATAATCCCATGTTTCATGACTTTTCAAAGTTGATTATCTCCTTGGCAATGCTTTACCAGGAGCTAGATATACAACTGCCACTTTACAAGAGTCTAGCAATTCATATTAGAAGCCTGTTAAAGTGCATTTAATCACAATTTAACAGTCATTCCTCTTCAGATCAGACATAAAGGTCACAGAGGAAAAGCATTCTTTCTCAGTGATTTAACTATGTTGGGTTTGGGAAATTTCCTCTTCCACTGACCACATTATTCCTGAGAGAGTTTGCTGGTTTAATGTGATATAGAGCTAGCTGGCCCTTGCAAATTTAAACAATTTGGTGGAGAAAATGAAATATTGAAGATGATAACATTTATTCTCAAAAGAAGTTCTGTAGATTTCTCTTCACCTAGGTTTGTCTAATTCTTCAAGGCAAATCATAACACTATTCAATTCTACACCACTAGTTTTATACAGACAATCTTTATTTCCTACTTGTCAAAGGACATTTTACTTGTGCAAAGAATTATACATGTAAAGTAACTATAGTAAATAAAGATGTATTGCCATCCATCGTGACACTTATCTGCATTTATGGGTCTCTGTGCTCTAACAAGAGCAAACAATGGTTCAGTGTCTCAACAATCCCTAAGGAATTTTACAGTGATTTATTTCTTTGACTTATTAAAAGCCTAGTCATAGCTCAAAGGTCTCTGAATACCCATAAAGTGAGGAAACTAATGCCAGAAAATTAAGAAATAATAGCAAAATCTCCTTACAGGAAGCAATCCAACAAGATATTACCCATAGGAAATTACTTTGGAAATGACTTACATTATACATATATTTCAAATGAAAACACTGACTAAGCTATGTCAATAAATTATGCTTTCATGAAACTCATATTTTTTGTTCCATTATTATATCATATGCCTCATTTATATAACCATTTCCTTTCCTTTAAAAGGAAATTTAAATTTAAAATTCCTCCTAATGTAATACTTAGGTGGAGATATTTCTTTGTATATTATTCCCATTTGAAGTTTTCTGATTTTAAATAACAATTCTAGCATAAAACAAATCAGTAATTTTATAAAGTTACACAACTATTATTTAATAACTATCTAAGAGTAAAAGAGTATGTGAAATCTAAAATTCAGGAAATTATTCTCAGGATATAATTTGGTGGATTACTATTATTATACTTGAATTTTAAATAAATAAAAATTCTAAACATTGGAGTATATGTTTTTGCATAAAACTATATGCAAACTAGGGTCCACTAAAACCCCCTTTTGTGTTTCCCAATGACAAAAAATACAGAAAAGCTTCAATTTTTAAGAAAATTGTGGAAAAAATATTTAAGATCACTGAATGAAAACAGATTAGATAAAAGAAAATATGTTTACAAAAACTGTACATTTATGCTAAGCATTATAAACACAAATGAATTTATAGTAAGATCAGAAATCTCAATGTTGTATTATTTCCATAGATACACTATAACCCCAATGACATCAATAACAGGTTTTCTTGGCAATAAGAGAAGAGTAGGTTTCATGAAGATAGAGGAAGGGGTGTATGTATAAGACTAGTCAATAAGTCTATGAAAACTAAATTTTATTAAGTTAAGGACTTTCAATTCTAATAATTACTCTCAACTAGTAAGATACCATGCAATAGATGTGTCTGGCAGTGCTCTATTGTAGTGAAATACTGTCAACAAGCTACCAGTGCTGGGCTGGTAAATAATGTCTCATCCAAACAGTGGAACACTCCCCTGTCACTAAGAATCATGCTAGGATTCTGAATTTATTTTTCAACGAAAGGTGCTAATTACAAATTGGTAAATAAAAGCAGCTAGTTACAAAACAGTATACAAGATATGATTCAGTCTTTTATATATATAGAAAAATGTCTATATATATATAGAAAAATGTCTACAAAGAATACATATATAGGGCAGCACCTGTGGCTCAGTGGGCAGGGTGCCAGCCCCATATACCGAGGGTGGCAGGTTCAAACCCGGCTGCAGCCAAACTGTAACAAAAAAATAGCCGGGCATTGTGGCAGGCAACTGTAGTCCCAGCCACTAGGGAGGCTGAGGCAAGAGAATCGCCTAAGCCCAAGGAGTTGGAGGTTGAGCAATGTGACACCATGGCACTCTACCTGGGGTGATAAGGTAAAACTCTTATCTCTACAAAAAAAAAAAAAAAAAAAAGAATACATATATAAACACTAAATGTGGTTTTCGCTGGGTGGGACTAGGGGTGATTTTTTTCAGCTTGTATAGTTTTTGACATTGTGGGAATTTTGCATTATACAGATACATTATTTTTACAATCATAAGAAATCACTTTAGCATTAACAAGCAGGAATTTATAGATACAAAATGAAATAAAATTGAAAGAAAGTAGATACAGATAGCTGCTGGAAGAGAACACTTCGGGGAGGGTTTCTGTGTTGGGGTTCTGCTGCTCATCCATTTGCTTTTACTGTGCAGGGCCCCTCAGGGACATATGGTACTATGTGGAGGAATCATACATACTTTAACTTTCTAGTGGCCAGTGTCCTTTTTTTACATATTATTGCTGACATCAAGTTGAACACAGTAGTGATGAAGTCTTCTTAGTTTATATCATTACCTCCTACTGAAATTCCTGTATATAATATGAAAGCTATACTTTAATGCTGTACTTGCTTAATTAAAATGAGTAACAATCCCATAAGTACATCTCTTGACATAAACCATCCTAAATTATGCCTTAGTGATTTCATACAAGAGTTTTACTAAGAAGGAAACGCACGGTAATGTTAACTACTGCCAGGTATAGAGTTTAAAACCTTTTAACAAAAACTCTAATTTCATGCTAGCTCTGATTTCATGTTTTAAATAATAGGTTTATATGAATATTAGCTAATGTAGAAGTTCTACTAAGTATTTAGCATAAAAAAGATGCAATGGAAATAATAACAACTAATATTTATAGAGTATTTACTATATGCCAAGCATATAAAAAGTACTTCTAAAAGTACTTTATGTATACTAAGCCGATTATTCCACAAGCAATCTATGAGATAGGTGCTATTATTATCTGTTTCACCCACTAAGGCTCAGATGTCTAATAAGTCCTTTGCCCAAAGTCACATAGCTAAAAAATAACAGAGCAAGGTACTAAATCTAGAAAGTCTAACACAAGACTACTTATATATTCTACAGATTTTTAAAAATTTATGTAAGCTTTTAGTTTTATTATAGAATAGTTTTAGATTTATAGAAAAGTTGCAAAACAGAGTTTGTGTATACCCCTTACTCAGTTTCCCCTCTTGTTGAAATCTTACCTTATATGATGTATTTGTCACAGCTCACATGGGTACATTGATAGTAACTAAACAAATTTATTTGGGTGTTACTGGTTTTCCCCAACGTGCCTTTTCTGTTCCAGGATTCCATCCAGCAAACCATATTACAAGGAGCTGTCACATCTCTTTAGCCTCCTTTGGGTTACAGTTTCTCAGACTTCCCTTATTTTGGTAACCCTGACAGTTTTAAGAAGTACCACCCAGGTGGTTTGTAGAATGACTCTCAGTTTAGGTTTGTGTGAAGTCTTTTGCATGATTGGACAGGAGTTGTGGTTTGGGAGGAAGATCACAGAAGCAAAGTGCCATTCTCAGCCTATCTCCTCAAGGGGACCTGCTGGCCACAGGACTGTTAGTCTGGTGTCTCCACATAAAGTCACTGTCCTCCCATTTTCCGTGTTCTGCTTTATGAGGGAAAAGTCACCAATCAAAAACCCACAGCCAAGGAGTGGAGAGTATCTATGTGAATTACTTGGAATTCCTCTGTTAGAGCCGGATTCTTACTCTGCCCCCCAGGCTGGAGTAAGAATCCTCATTTTTAACCCATTGCCTCTCATATCCTATTCTTTCTTACCATTTGACATATTGTGCTATGTGCAATACATAGTTTAAAAGCACAATTTTGACTAATTTCCTGCTTTTTCAAAAGTCAAAAAATGTTAGAACTAAATGTGACAATGGATTAATTTGTTTTAAATCACTTTCCTTAAGTTAGAATTCGTCACTAAGTGACCAATTAAACACTGATTTTCCATAGAAGCACACAGCAAAGAACTTACGAGAAATATTCGTTCAAGTTGATCTTGAATGTCTTTCATTCCTGGAAAAGCAGCAACCCCTTGGATCATTTCAACGAAGATGCAGCCAACTCCCCTAAACAGAGAAGAAAGAGTCATTGCAGAGCTTCGATATATTCTGCTCAGAAAACTACATCTGGAGTTAGTTTTCTCCTACAGAGAACCTGTGAGTGGATAAATGACATTCTTGATGAGCACCAAGAGCTGTGTGACATATACCTAGATTCCAGAACTTTCCTTTCCCCGAAGACAATGCAAACCAATAAAACAGTGAATCCCAGTGGCTCCACTTACTTACAGGATACACCTGAGAAGACCTCAGCTGATACAGAAGTCTCCATAGTCAAGTCCTAGCATCTTCCTCCAACTACTTCATAGCATATTGTACTCTCTAACTGTTCAGTGGTTCTCAGTCCTCTTTGCATCGGAATCATCTGGGAACTTCTGAAAACTACAAATTCTCTGATCACACAGCCCAGAGAGCCTGTTGTGGTCAGTCTAGTTGGAGCCCAGGCATTGACATGGGCTGCTCAGATGATTCAGGACAGCCACACTGAGGATCACTGAACCAGACTGATGTGTCCAAGTGCTCTGCAACTAGGCTCACATTGCTTCACTACCTAGAATACCCTCCTTCACCTATTTGCTGTTGGTATCTAAACATAACCCAACCTCTATAATCTTGTTTGAATGCACTCCTTCCCTGAAGCCCTCCATGAATCTTTCAGTAGACTAGATTGTTCTTCTTAGCAGCTTATTGATTACGCCCTTACTCAACATAGCAGCCATCTACTATGCTCAACCTCCTCTCCTAGCTTAACCCCCATGCTCACAGGTAGTCCAGCATTTAGCAAACTTTGGCTCCCAGACAAAAGCAGCCTCCTAACCCAACAGAACAACCAATTCAGGGCACGGGCAGAGAGCCAATTAGGTCTTTCTTCTGGGACTTTAGAGAACAAGTCGTTTGGGAGAAGGATGGTGAGACACTCACATGTGTACCTGGGATCAGTCACATGCATGAATGGCCACATACTTCCATGGGGAAAGTCTCCTGAAGTGACCTGGTTCTTGCTTTCTGGAGACCTGGATGTTCAGATAATCTAGTATTTTTTCCAGCCATCCCTATCTCCTAGAAACTCTAGATTTTTTAAAAAGTAACTCTAGTTTGAATGGGTTTATTCTAACAAAGCAATGAATACATTGGGATGCTTCTTAAATTGCTGCATGCATCTTCAATTTAGGGAGAACAAAACTTTGGGTCTTTAATTTATTTCCGAACACCATAGGTGAAGGGCAAGTGATCAACTTTGCTGTTGCTGCTTCAGTTGTTACCACAGTTGTATAGAAACATTTTTTTTGCAGTTTTTGGCCGGGACTGGGTTTGAACCCAGCACCTCTGGTATATGGGGCCGATGCCCTACTCCTTTGAGCCACAGGCACTGCCCTAGAAACAATTTTTTGAATTAAAGAGGTAATACATTATTTTCAGGAATCTCTTCCCCATTATAGTACATAATTTCTTTTTTCTTCCTTTCTTTCTCCTTTTTTTTTTTCTTTTTTTTGGAGACAGAGTGTCTCATTTTGTCAACCTTAGTAGAGGGCTGTTGCATCACAGCTCACAGAAATCTCAAACTCTTGAACTCAAGTGATTCTCTTGCCTCAGCCTCTCAAGTAGCTGGGAATACAGGTGCCCACCACAACACCCGGCTATTTTTCTTTTTCTCTTTTTTTTAATTTCAAATTAATATGAGGGCACAAATTTTTAGGTTACAAGGTGAAGTCCCAGAACTCCTCACCCAGGGGCTTGTATATGCCCTTGCATTGTGCCCATTGATCCTGCCTGGGCTTCACTCTTGCTCAGGCTGGTCTCAAACTCCTGAGCTCTAGCAATCCAACTGCTTCAGCCTTCCAGAGTGCTAGGATAACAGGTGTGAGCCATTGTACCAGGCCAGCACATAATTTCTATTCAAATTGAACATCAATGGATGGGGCGTGGTGGTTCACACCTGGAAGGTGGAGGCAGGTAGATTGCTTGGCTCAGGAGTTGGAGAGAAGCCTGAGCAAGATCAAGGCCCCCGTCTCCACTAAAAACTAGCCAGGGGGTGGGGTGGGCACCTCTCTCTAGTCCCAGCCACTCGGTAGGCTGAGGCAAGGAGTTTGAGGTTGCTGTGAGCTATGACGCCAAGACACTCTAGCCTGGCCAACAGAGTGAAACTCTGTTTCAAAAAACAAAGCAAAACAAAACAAAACAAATTAAACACCAATAATATGCAGTCTCAAGATGGTAAAAACCAAAAATAATGCTACTTTATGTTATAAAAAATTGATTTCATTTAAGTAGTAAAGAACTAATTTAAAATCAGTATTCTATTCTAGGGAGATGGGTTTTAACAAAAGTTGTTTTCATTTTAAATGTGAGAGACATCATAGATATCTGAGGGAATCACTTTATTAGTATATTAAATGCAATGATATGCTTATAAATACTGGGGCTTCAGATGTCTGATTAAGTCTATATATAATTCCAGTATGATGGTTTTCCAAATTTCCCTGATAAGAATTCTTTTCTAAGACTACTGACCCACATTTCTATTGTTTTCTTACTTGTTTACATAAAATGTCTTGGATCTTAAATAGCTACTTGCACCTTCATTTTCCACTTTCAGCTTACGCCCTCTAGTCTCCACCTTTCAGCCTCCATCTTTCCCACCACAAGCTGCAACTGCGAGTGTGAAGAGCCCCACCAGAAGCCACAGCCCACCCCACCCACATACATATACATACATACACAGCTGGGCTGGTTAGGAGGGCGTCTGCTACACTGTCAGAACTATTTACAGAATTTATTTTACCACCACTTATGCTTAGTCCACATAACCCCTATTAATATGATACTTCGAATGATTAAAAGAAAAATCTTTGCTTCAGTTCTATTACGCTGGAAGGACATGATGTATAATTTCTATAGGTGCTTACCTTCCTAGCTGCCTATGGGACCCTGACTTTCCTTTCTAATGAATTTCTCTTATAACATCATCTTGTTCAAAGACGTCTGAATGTGCACTAATGATGCTGAGAGAATTACACTTAAAGGACTAAAAAAGATATAAACCACAAGAAAATGCACAGGTGGGTATATAAAACATAGCAACATACGAATACAGAAGAATTCTTTTTTTTTTTTTAATTTTAATTTTTTTTATTTTTGGCTGGGGCTGGGTTTGAACCCACCATGTCTGGAATATGGGGCCAGCGCCTTACTCCTTTGAGCCACAGGCACTGCCCAGAAGAATTCTTTATCACTGGAGCTGCATTACTGCCAAAGAGCAGCAGGAGCTCCTTAACTTAAGGACATAAAGGGCCACCGCCCCTGTTCTCTTTCTCCCCTTCCTCCCTCCGGCTCTTTTGATGGATTAAGCTGACTGCACTGAGTGGTTCACTGAGAAAACATTTATGCCCTTAAGCTCTATACTTGTGATATACAATCTTCTGCCAACAATGTCTCTTCTGTTGCTTCTGTTCGGAATTTAAATAATCCTAAATCTAACTTTTTCAAGAATAAGCTGTTCACAAAAACTTACAGTTAAAGGTGTGACAGGATGGACCAGGGTCAAACTCTTATGTTAGGGTTAATGACCTGGTAAGCAACATTTAAACACCCACCTGTGCTCACACATTTTTCAGTGTTTTTGAACTCAAAATTTCCAACATTAATTTATGTCTTAGGTAAATGAATGATTTTTTTTTCATCACAATTCAAAACAAGAGTTCAAGCTGAATTGGTAATTCCTTCTCAGTATAAGCAGAGATAGAAGACCTTTTAAGGTTAGAAGGTCTTATAATTTGGGAGTCTTTGTTATGAAAATAAATACAAATTTATGAATAAAAATTGGGCACAAAAGTGAATATGGAATAAGAAACTTAATCAAAAGAAATCACAAAATGCTAAGAGCCAACAAATAATCTAAAATTCAGAGAAATATAGGTGTCCCAAAGCTACCTCTAAAGTCACCATATGTAAGGAAAATAGGACATTGGAGCTAAATGTACTTTTATTAACAGAATATTCATTACAAAATTTTATAAAATATTTACAAAACATTTTCTACATTTTGGCGATTTCTTTGTAAAATTTTGTAATAAATATTTTATAAATAAAGCTCCAATGTCCCATTCTTCCTATGTACGGGGACTTTAGTGCTGGCCATTAGGACATCCTGTAATGTAACATTTATTACTAACTGTCTGACAAACCTCTCTAATACTCTTCTCTCTAAAATTTGGTGGTGTAATCTTTAACTAACTCTTCTTTTGACAATTCTATAATATTTTCTGTAAAGGGAACATGGAGATAATTTAGACTTTCCTCTAGAATGGTGACATTAGTTTGGGGAGTCTAATATAGTTTAAATTTTTTTTTCAGCTTTTCATCATTGGTTAGAACATGTAAACGTTTAGGACTGTGTCAGTTTCGGGAAAACCTCTATCAAGCTTTCAAGTGCGTCTACATGCCACAGACACAGTCATTCTCATCTATTTTATACAATTCCATGGTCACACCAAAAGGGCATGAGAAGACATGCCTCGCTCAGTGAGCACAGTCTGCATAGCTGACATCTGAAAGGGCTAGAAGAGGTGAAGCTGGTGGAGTACAGGGTCAAGGCACTGGGAATGGGAATCGAACATTCCAGGCAGAGGAAATGGGATCTAGGGAAGTGAGGAATCTTGAGAGAACCAAGTGTTAATATGGCTCTGCATGGAAAATAGAAAAGAAAGTTAAAAAAAGAGAAAAGTCCACTGTTCATGCCGATAATGGCTTCTACATTTTTAAATGGTTAAAAAAAATCAAAATAAGAATATGTGGTGGCAAATGAACATTACACAAGATTCACATTTCAACGTCTATACATAAGCTTTAAAGGAACACAACCACACACATTTGTTTAGGTTTCCTTCGTGGCTGCTTTCCCATTAAAATGACAAAGACAAGTAGTTGCTACAGAGACCAAATCCTCTCTCTGCAAAGCCCAAATTATTTCTCATTTGGCTGATTACAGAGTTTGTGAAACTGATCTA